AAACAAGTTAATCCTCTAGAAATCTGCTTCTAAGTTTCTTGTACAAAGGGGTCCTTTGAATAATTACATCCTTGTGTAAAGTATCAGCCTATACATGTCCCACTGTTGGGCAAAGGCCTCCTCTGTACAGATGGTATCAGGACATAGTCCACCACGCAACTCCACTGCGGATTGGCGGACTTCAAATATCTTCGAAACATTTTTTTTTATATGTATTTAAAAAATATGCAGGTTTCCTGACGATGACGTTTTCCTTCACCGCTGAGCACGTGATAATTCAGCACTTAAAATTGTCAATTTTATTGGTGCTGGCACCGGGGATCGAACTCAGGTTGCTCGAGTATATTGAATTAAAGGCGAGCCGAGCTATCACGGCTCTACGATCATCCTTGTGTATGAAAACTAAATTAATATTACGTAAGTGCAACGCAATTCAATCGAAACGAGCGTGATAGGCAAAGGTCAATCGTTTGTATGCAGATGCTGCTCCAGTTGAGTAAATGATGTTAAAATTGTTGCCACATACTACATGTGTTTGTTATCGTTAAACGCCTTGAGCGATTACATCACAGTTTATGGATGTATATAATTAAAATAACGATTTACTCACGCGTAGAAAAGGTCCCTTGTGAGTGAATATAATGTTTATTAGTTACGTATACCCATAATTATGTATTTTAGAGTATTCATTTCCAGAAAACTTTCTTATATTTGGTGTCTCTCTCACAATTAAAACACTTATTATTGAAGGCTATTTTTTACAGTGAAAACTAAGTAAGCAATTATGAAGTAAGTATGAAGTTCCTAACGAAGACATCCGCAGTAGAACGTAGGTAACCGACATAGCTCAGAAGACTAGCAAGCTGAAGTGGTGATGCGCTGGCGATATAGCTCATAGAACCGATAACCGTTGGGGAAGAAAGGTTCTCGAGTGGCAGCCTCGTACTGGCCATCGCAATGTAGGACCACCTCCCACCTCTAGATGGAGCGAAGACCTGTGCAAATGTTATTACCGACCACAATTACCGATTTACTTTGTAGTTTTCGTTTTGTGTTTTTTTTTTCATCTTAGTCACTTTATTTTTGTTATTAGCGATGAGTCTTCACGATGTAACTAAACACCTATCGCAAACCTGGCAGCTCTGGCTCCCAAGATACAAGCACTGCTTAGTTTGGGATCCATTGTTAATGTCTCGTAGTTTGAGGTTAGTTACAAAATTTTGTTTTAATTTTTATTACTATCTTCTTATTTTTAAGACATGTATTGTAACTTACTTTTGCATCTACTTAGATGAACTAACTTAGATGAATAAATAAATAAATAAATAAATTTAATTACTTAATTTTGCTTTAATAAAATAGATTATTCAAAAAAAAAAATATAAGTGCTGAAATTCGATAGATGCAGGTGGCTCAGGATTGTACTTTGTGGCGATCGTTGGGGGCTGCCTACATTCAGCAGTGGATTCAGCCACTTCTGCTTACCAAGCCTCTGAGCTATGTCGGTTACCTTTGTTCTACTGCGATTTTCTTCACTGCGAACTCTATCACGCAGAGCAATACCGAGCATAGCCCTCGCCATAGTTACCGAAATGACTATGACCATCGTAGCAGGTCGACTCAGTTCCATAGGTCATCACTGGCAACACACAATGATTGAAAACTTAGTTCTTCAAACCCCGTTTGATAAATAACATTAAATAATACTTATTAAATATTTGGTAACAATTCCGCAAAATACTTGAACTTCTTCTTCTTTTTATTTCTTACCCCTATTCCCAGAAAACAAGTGGCGTCGATACAATACGTTCTTTCCTTCAATTTAATTAAAGGAAATAATTGAAGAATATACCGAATACAAACAAAAAAGTATGCCGAATACGAATTTTCGGCCGAACTTTCGGCGCATCGCCTAATACCGATAATTTCGTGCAACTCTCTCTCGGTGTGAAGATATATGCCCTATAGCTCAGTGGCTAGAGCTTCGGGCGCGTAAACCGAAGTACGTAGGTTCAAATCCACGCGGCAGCAAAAAAAATTTCATCCTTTTATCTACAAATTTTAAATTTCATCTTAGGCGCAGAGAATGTCACTATAAAATTAATACCATTTAAAGAAAAAACTCCTGTGTTCTACTCCTTTTTGCCTTTGTTATATAACTGCAGTTCATTATTTATTCATAATTGAACTGTAGATAATATAGTGTAAATGAAACATCAATAAAGTAATCACAGAATTAAAAAAATACAACGGTATTATGCGCATACAGGAAGACCTTATAAGGGAAGCGGTGGAGGTCGACAGGCGTTGAATCTCGTCGTCTCTGCACTTTCTAGGGCTTGACTATTATCCCAACTGATGGTAAGTTGTGATGCAGACCCAGGTGGAAAAGGCACACAGTACAAGCCATTGCTTTAGCATTAAAGGCATATTGTAGTCGAACGGCTTCTTAAGAACACCTCCTTTCTCCTGCCCTTACCCCCCACTAATTGGGGTCGGCAAAACATGTTAATTCTTTTCACTTTCCCCTACCAGCCGTCATCTCAACTTGACAGACATATTCTTCACACAGTCCATCCGAATCTGTCGACCAAACTACCGAAGCTTCAAAAGTCGTCTTTTTGATATTTGCAACAGCATCAGGTATAAAGCAATAAATGCACTGGCTCAAGTGTTGGTCAGTCCATGGCATGAGCAACGGAACATTTTCCCAAGTAATTTTATATGTTTCAACGCAAAAATATATCGACAAGTCGACTACTAAGGTGATATGATGTGTCACTAAAATTATTTTTTGCATTTTGATAGGACGGCTTTAGTTCAAAGAATGTAATGTTTGTTAATAGAAGATAATTGAAATCAATGAGTGAAGGCGCTATTTTCAAATTGAAGGATTGTGAAAGGATATCATAAAATAAATTACATTGGATATTTGTGTACTCCTTATATAAAAAAAAAGCATATTGAACTTCACCATGACATTAAACCTGCATACCTAATGCCTTGTACACCCATGTCTTCAAATAAATTATTATTATTAATAATAATAATAAAATATTAATAATTATTATTAATAATAATTAAAGTAACGATAATTAATGCAATAACGTACAGACTCGAGTAACTCTTTTGCGATAAGTTATTTTTTAGCGAAAACTACCTTTATTTATTATAGCAAAAGTCAAAGTGTAATTTTTGTAAAGCAGTGATCGCTGTTGCACGAATGGGCAGGTCCGTCCGGGTTAGTACCACGACCCCACAGAAGACCGGCGTAAAGTAGAAGTATTGCACTTCTGCGTTTCGTTTGGTGAGTGAGGTAGCAAGGGCCCACATTATTAAGAGGTGGTAACGCATCTGCAACCCTACGGGTGATGCGAATGTCCATGGGCGGTTATCACTTAACATCAGGTGAACCGCCTGCTCGTTTACCACATTCTCACATAATAAAAATGTGGTGGAGTAGTCGCTAATCTATACAGATAAATAAAAATTGGAGTGTGTGTTTGTAATATTAAAATACCCCCTTTTTACTAAATGTATATACACGGTACATACCTATACAGATAAATAAAATTGGAGTGTCTGTTTGTGATATTAAAATAACCGCGTTTTATATTGTGCCAAATTTTATTTTCGACATTCTGACGATATTAACTGACCGAAAGACTCGTGTAAGTTTGGTTTCTAATTTTATTTATTAGTTTAAAAATGATGAATATAAATAAATTACTATTTCGAAGGAACTCTGTATTATGTGTTGTCTGTATATTATGTCTCGATGATATCTTATACAGATGAATAAAATTGGAATGTCTATTTATAATAATAAAATAACCGCTTTGTACTAAATGTATTTGGATGTATACACGCTACATATACCAAAATATTTTTTTTAGTATTGTCTGTCTGTCTGTCTGCTATATGCCGTGATAGCACAGTGTCCGGGTGCTTGCCTTTCATTCAATATACTCAAGCAACCGGAGTTCCATCCCCGGTGCCAGCACCAATGAAATTGTTAATTTTAAGTGTCGAATTATCACGTGCTCAGCTGTGAAGGAAAACTTCATGTTCTCGAAATAATAAAAAAAAATATTTCGAAGATATTATGTGAAGTCGGCCAATCCACAGTGGGGTTTCGTGGTGATGAGACTATGCCCTGATACCGTCTGTACAAATTTCATTGGTGCCATCACCGGGGATCGAACTCTGGTTGTTCGACAGTAGGTATATGCAATTATAGAGTAATTTAAAGTAAGAGTCCGAACATAAGGCATAATTTATAAATTTTAAATTACTTATATGTATATAATAAGTAAGTACCTACTTTTATTTATTCCCAATATTGGAATGACATTTCGTGACCAAAGCCAATTTTTATATGAAATAAACTTCACGATAGAGTTTCACGAATAAATTATATTACTTGTGCGCGTTTTAGAGTACCTAGATATCGAACTATATCGGTTAGGTACTTAATTATTTTTAAACGAGAGTTTTGTATTTGTTCAAGTATGTAAAATAGCAATGACCTTAATTGCAATTTTTCTAGTTAGTCGTTAACAGATTAAATATAATTATTTTGAATTATGGATAATGAATCAATCTCTAACACTTAATTCCATTTTTAACCGAGATTTATTCGATAAAAACTCAACAGTTCTTCTCAGCTAAGGAACGTGCGGCCCGGCTATTATTCCCAAATATTTATTTTTCTCGTTTCTTTAGCAATATGACCCTTAACTCGTGTGGATACAATCCAAAATAGTTTCATCGGGTTATCGCCAGACGCAAGTAAGCACGTAGTTCGCGATTATAAAATAAACGACAACAAACTTAGTCGGCCGGGTGCGTTACCGTTGGGTGGTTGTGTTCGTTACATCTTAAAAACATTGTGCAGTGAATAATCGAACATGAATGTTATATCGTTAACTGTTTGGACGTTGGAGAACAATTGTTTTGTAATCTACACGGCGATGATAGTCTGTTTTATAGCGTTCACGATGTTCCACAAGAATAGAATGGAGGCGCATTATAGCAGAATAGCCGCCAAAAAGAAATTCGCGCCAACTGGCGGTGGCAGAGGTTTGTAAATCTTGCATTGTGATAGGTTTAATTTTATGGGCGATTTATGCTACGTTTAACTTTAATTAGAACCAAGATATTTTTATATGTTCATCGATTACAATAAAACTCATTTCAAATCAAATTTTATAACGAATGTACCCTTCGTAATTTACGACTGTACGGCTAGAAAAAGGGCTAAAAATTATAAGGTCGATACACTCGACTCAGTCTGAATCATCAGGGTCCTCGATTGAATTTTGTAAGACTTAAATGTAATACGATTTTGTATTGTTGCCTTGACTATACCGCCACAAACAGGACAGGCATAAACTTCACCTATGCGTTCGCTTTATAATTAAAAAAAAAACGACAGATGAATCGCAATGTTTTTTTTCCAGTAAATCTACTGGTCATTAGACTGAGAGATCGATGTTATTTTTTTTAAAGAATAATGTAATCATGTAACGAAGCACACGAATTACGGAGTTTTTATAAGACTGAAGGTCGCGAAAGGGATGACATTACTTTAACTTCATCTGTTGTTTATCAAGTAAATATGTAGTATTAAAACGATTTCTAGGCTCATGTTTACATAAACTTGTTTAATATTTTTGATTTTGGTATCCTATTTTTATTTAATTCGCTGGCAGATTCAAAGTCAAGGTCAAAATTTTTTTGTTCAATATTGGGTTATTATATATTCTAGAATATCCATAAGGAATTTACTTTTTAAAAAGAACATTTATAAGACAAAAGGAACATAATCTCTGCACACAATTCTTGGCGATATAAGAATAATAACAAATCACGTTTACACTTCAACGACCGATCACCGGGTCACCGGGTCCCCAGAGCGTAAAGGCCCATTTACACGGTGCCAGTTTCTTGCCTGTTGTATACAAGAGCAATAATTGAAGCAATAAATGAGTTGCATGGTCTAAACCATTTGGTTTAACAAATTATTGCAACTCATTTATTGCTCCAATTTAATTGTATACAACAGTACAAGAAAATGGCATCGTGTAAATGGGCCTTAACTCCGCACGAGTTTTTATAGGCAACTACAATAATTTAACTCCCATACTATTTATTAATCCTCCTACCATACTATTGATTGTCTGTTAAACTTCTAAAATAATCGTCTCCCATACTAATAGTAGTCTATACTCCTATACGAATAATCTTCTATAATGTATATACATAAACGTCAAAAAACTAGCAATGGTTCAATAAACTAGACCTATCCAAATGAAAAATCCAGATTAATAAAGGAAAGATTCCGATAAATAAAAAAAGTTGAAAATAAAGCTTAATTTTGGTACGTAGAAGATTTCGCGAAAATCTAAATTTGCCCATTTATATTTTTATAGTGTTGACTCGGGAGCTCGGGACCTGATTTTTGTACACCTCGTACGTATCTGGTATTAATTTCAACATACTAGGTCCACCTGTTGATGAGAAAAGCGGTGGTGATTATTTACAAATTTTACTATGGCGGTATAATGACTCGCACTTGACAGTTTTTTTTAAATAGGTAGCATAAGTTTACAAGCTATTTAAGAATAAAATCAGCAGTAATTTATAGTTCTGCATCCGGATTAGTGTCTTTGCCGCTTTTTTCCATATTTCACTTACAAATATTTTAAATTTGTAAGTAAAAAAATACAACATTATAATCTAGACAGACTGAAATCCCTCAGTTATGGGGTTGATAATTAGTCCCAGATGTCCCATATAAACAAACGACCCGCTTACGAGACCAATTTTAACAACGTTTTCATAATTATTTGTCGTTTGAACTAAAACCTGTTCCGTGCGGGAATTGAACTCATGTCTCGCGGTTTGACAATCACTGATCGGCCCTCGCAGTTAACATTTTCACACATCCGAATAAAATTTACGTCCCACTAGCCGTACTGAAAACCTGTGTTGATCGGGCATCTTACTTTTTGAAGTTACACTTCTTTTGACGCGTTAGGGAAAAATGATGTGAGTAAATTTTTACGAAGCGCGGTGTGCCCACCGTCACGAAAAACCGACACCCTGAGTAGCTAGACATCTACGTATGTTTGCCTTAGAACTGACAACTGTATTCACGATATTTATTTTGTGATATTTAAATAAACTTTATTTAACTTGATAACGCGTTATAATAAAACTTTCAATGTATTAAATACCTTTTTTTCTATTGTTATTGTCGTTTTTTCGACAAACGTAGAAAAACGGGAAAGATTTTTATCTTGTAACGCCTAGTATAACTTCTGACGTGTGTACATAAGTACACACATTTTTATCCTATGTGGAAAGTTGTCACGCTTGCAGCCACACTTGAGGGCTTACAGATGCGGTGTCCCTTGAAAAAGTGGACCCTGGCTACCTCACCAGACGAAACACACCTCACGCTGGTCTTCTGTGAGGCCGTGATAATTCACCGCAGGAACCTGCCTGAACTTAGATCTGTCACTAAGCTAATCTGTCACTAATCAGGTAAACGGTTGCAATAAGTGTTGGATACAGAAAACCGGTTTGTGCAGAATTAATTATGGACGCACGGTCGACTGCACGCGTGTGATGAGCGCTTTCGGAATGAAATAAACCATTTGGTGTGACTGTTTAATCTTTTTCTTGAAACTAACTACCACTTATGTAATTATCACTGAGGTTGTTGACCCAAGTCTGGTCTGGTAGTGAGCAGTAGTTCACTACACCACCAGACTTGGGACTAAAAATATGGCATTAGTCATATTTGGGCCGCTAACGCAAAATGTCTTATTGGTGACTGGGTAAGAGGCGATAGTCTTCTTCTACGTCTTGTTTGTATAAAAAACTAGCGACCCGCCCCGGCTTCGCGCGGGTGCAATGTATTATATATATAAACCTTCCTCTTGAATCACTCAATCTACCTAAAAAATACCGCATCAACATCCGTTGCGTAGTTCTAGATCTAAGGCGTACATAGGGACTGAGGTTGTTGACCCAAGTCCTTGTGTAGTTTTAGTGTAGTAGTAAGTTTCCTTTAGTAGTTTTAAAGATCTAAGCATACGAACGGACGACTTTGTTTTATACTATGTAGTGACATTGCAGGATATTACTATCCTTACTATCCTGTGTTGGGATGTTTTACATACACAAATTTCGTGTAAACATAATCAGATGTAAAATAATTGCTTGTCGCGTGTTGTCGCCGAACTCATTGCCCCCGACATCGAGGCAATTAGCTTGGCAGCCGGCACCAACGAAATTGTTAATTGCAGTTTTGGGAGCTGTTTTTGTCCCGCTGTCTGTCTATCGCTATGTACGGCTTGGATCTAGAACTACGCTACGGATGTTGATGCGGTATTTTTTAATAAATATAGTGATTCAAGAGGAAGGTTTATATGTATAATAATTTCCACCCGTGCGAAGCCGGGGCGGGTCGCTAGTTACATGTATAACCAGCGGCGAAGAACAACACCGCGAGGAAACCTCCATGTTATTCTAAATAGTTATAAAAAATATCTCAAAGATTTGTGGAGTGCACCAATTCGAGCCGGGGTCGAGTTGCACTAACCCTGTGATACCCTCTATACAGGAAGCCTATACCCAGCAATGTGACATAATGTGTAATATATAGGCTCTTTGTTCTTTTACTTTTATTTAACTTTACACAATGTCACATTTCTGAACATTAATTATATATTTCAATGAATATCCCCCTTTTATCGTACAACTAGATATTTGTAGGTATCTTTTTGTGAAAATTTTCTATGTTCCAAAGAAGCAGTCAGTATATAAAAGTTACTCTATGGAAGCAGTTTCCTATCCTTGTACCTTGTATTGACTGATGTTTTTGCTTTCAGTCTCGAGACTATTAAAGCTTCATCTGACGCAGAACCGGTGGGCTAGCCAGAACCCACGGGTTTGGGCCCTCCTCTGTGGGTAGGGCCACGCATGTGCTCATGCGTATGTTTAACTATGGAGATATCCTCTCGCAATGCGACAGAGAGAAATACACAAAGAGCGGGATAAATGTTGCCAAACTTAGATTTACTTTCAGCGCACAACGCGACCGACTTGGCAACATTACGTTTTTTTTCTGCGAGCTTTTTTAAAAATCTAAAATTGCAACACTGCTTACATTAGCATTGATCTCGAGCAGTCGCCAGTATGTAGGTAAGCAGATAGAGGGATGGGTTTGAGATTTTAAGGTTGCTGATTCAAGTTGGCGTAAATGATAACTAGACATGGATTAACGATAACGTAACAAACAGTTAAAAATTTGGGCACGGATAAAATACTGGTTTATGGACGAAATAACATGGAATACGGAATTTTTAAGTGAATCTCGTTTGGAGGGTGCCGCGAAGAACAAGAACTGGAAAGGCAGTTGACAATTGACGTAAAGGACGGTGAAGCGAGGAATCATCTGAGCACAGGAATTACAGTCTGCGGCTATCAATGCCACAATAAGTCAGCTCCTAATTGGCGCAGACGCCTCATGACACATAGACGCCAATTAGCGTTTCTTTTTGTTTCCCAAATTAAATATTTAATGTTTATTCAGATCATGATCCACTGTGTACAAGTAATACGGTCGGTATTACCCAGTTGTGGTTGCAAACACCAGCATCAGTGGCTGAGACGTGTACAAAGACAATAAAAACTTTTCTTATTTCTGAAAAATGCACAAAACCTTACTAAAAATACTCTTTACAATACGTATTGTGTAAGCGGCGTTTTCATGACACTTCTAAAATCTGCAAAGGTCGTGTCAAAACCATATACATCTTGCTAAAGTCAACATTGGCTTAAGTTATCTTGACTAAGTTATTACCGGAGCAAAACCATTACGCGTGCACTGTACGATATGTTTTTATCAGTCGACGCAGTAATGTAGCATGGGTTCTAGTTTCCATCTACAGCATATAGGAAAAAAAGTTGGTATGTGGATAGCACTGGGCAAAACTCGCGACTCTGCCTGCGTGTTTATTAAAAGCTGAATCACATACAAACATATTGCTGGATATAAAACCAAAAGA